GGGGGAAGGAGGTCGTTAAAGTCAAGTATAATGGAGAATAGCTCTTGAAAGGGATGAAACTTGAACTTGAAAAAATGGGAAAGGAAGGAAAAGGAAGAAAATATCAGTACAAGTAAAGATCCAGACTAGTATTTAATATGATTCATAAATAATCTTTACTCTAGAACTACAACCCATTAAAACATTTATCCCTTCCCTAAAGTCTTTCAACAGCAGAATCAAGATCTTAGACATCTGTGTTTGAAACTCCAGCACAGGGCCTTACACATAGTGGGAGCAAAATGAAATTAGCTCAGCCTATTTAAAAGTAAGAAAAGTTACACTTACCGTGTGCTCGTACACACACCGAGGTGGAAATTGCTCGCTTGCCAATTAGGTTAAATACTCTGGTAGCCAACATTCTGAAAGATAAAAACATACACCTTTATGAATGAGGGCAAACACCTATCAGGAATGATTCTTTTTGCCCCCGTGCATTCTAGAAGTCAGTGCAATTCTTTTGTTTTCTTCTCCCCAATGTAAATGACCCATTCTTCACTACTGACTCTGAATTCACAAAATAACCTAGGATGAAGTTTTTCTTAGCAGTAAGCACGACTTTATGAAAATTCATTATAAACCAAGTGCCATACTTTATACACACTTCAATTAGTAGAAAATGGGCTTTCTTAAAAAAAAAACAAGGGGAAAAAACTTTAATAAAGAGACTGAAAAATCTAGAAAGGTAAAACACTGTGCTGCCATGATGGGCTCCAATGATTGGAGGGAAAAGATAACAGCTCACAGGAACTGCGGCATGCACTGCATTCAACTGAGTTATTTGGTTAAAAATCGAATACGTGCATAGCATTGAAAAGGGAAATTAATCAGGGAGAAAGGCTGAAAATATGGCCCTGATCCAATTACAACCCCTGCGAATAACGGATGACCTGGATGACCCACGTCTCCCTTAGGCCCTTCCAGATTCAGGTCCATCTTCCCTCCTTAACTGGGTCGTTCAGGGCTGTGGACGATGAATAGGTTCCCCAACACATTCAGAAAATACCCCAATTAGTGCAGCATAAACAGAAGCATGACGTCAGAGCTAAACTCGCTCCTGTCTCGCTTTTCTCCCCCAGCCTAGCCCGCTGGCGGGGAAGCAGAACGCCTCTCCCAGAGTCCGTTAAACCCGGGGCGGTCGCGCAGTCACCGTTTTAAGGGGTGAGGGCCAAGGCTGCAGCGTAGGCCTCGGGGCCGCCTCCTTGAAGGCCAGCAAGACGACCTGTCTCTTGAGCCAACGCCCTTCACCAGCGGGCGCTCCAAGGTCAGAACCCGAAACCAGACCGCGGTCAGGTCAGAGCAGGTGGAGCCCGGCAGGATGCTTCTGGGCGGCACACAAACAGCTACCCGGCGGCCCCCGAGTCTGGAGCCCCCAAGGGCTGACCTCAATGTCACCAGGGTCTGAGGCCCAACTGCCGCTTCTTGCAGGCGCTGGGCCGCCAGCACTGAGGGTATCTCCCGGGCCCCCAACCTCCCGGGTCTCCCGGGGGCGCGGGCCAGGGGCCGACTGCCTCACCTGCCGCCGCCGCTGCCGCCACCGCAGCCACGCTCGATGTGCCCGCCGCGACCTCCCTCTCCGCCCCGGCTCCTCGCGACCGGAAGAGAGCGAGGCCGCGCCGCGGGGCACCACGGGATCTAGGAGGACTCCGCCCCTGCGCCGGGCCGCGCCGGAGGTCGCTGGAGCGGAAGGAGGGGAACGCCGCGAATGTCGTAAAACGCGGGGCCGGACTCCTTTCCGGCGGCGCCGGGCGAGAAGCGCGAGTAGAGTCTGAGGCGGGCGCTTCGGCTTTCTCCGGCCAGAGCTGGTGTCCGAGGACCCCAGTCCGAAGCGGGACTGAGCCTGAGGGGGTCTCCGTCAGTCGCGAGGCCACGCCAGGCAGCCGCCCCCTCATCCCACTTCTCCACTGAGGCGCCGCGCGGCTAGGCAGCGGATCCAGGCCTCAGCCAGCGCCTAGGGCCTCCGGAGCCCTCCCGGGCTCAGCATGCCCGGGATGAAGCTAACCACCCAGGCCTACTGCAAGATGGTGCTGCATGGCGCCAAGTACCCCCACTGCGCCGTCAATGGACTACTGGTGGCCGAGAAGCAGAAGCCGCGCAAGGAACACCTGCCCCTGAGCGGCCCGGGCGCCCACCACACCCTCTTCGTGGACTGTATTCCCCTCTTCCACGGCACCCTGGCCCTCGCTCCCATGCTGGAGGTGGCCCTCACCTTGGTAAGCATGCGAAGGGCGCCTGGCTGCCCCTTGGAGGTTGGCTTGCGGTCGGCTTCCATTTAGCCCCAGCTGGAAGCCGACAGGTGCCCGGCGGGAGCCTAGAACCCAACCCCTGAGGTCGCCGTGAAGATGAACGGGATGACTCACGAGAGCGCGTAGATCTTTGCCCGGCACTTGGGAAGCGCTCCGCAGGTGACAGCTCATAGTAGCGGCAGCACAAGAAGCCACTTTAACTGTTGTGGGTGTTTTAAGAGGTGCTTTAGGCAACAAATAATATATTAATTTTCTCAAACCAATAACTTTTATAGGAACAAGCCATCGTTAACAGGTGTTTACATTTGGAGTCTTAAGTCGCGCGAAGATTCGATGCGTTGGCATCTAAACGCTAGAATTTACTTCTCGAGCACCTTCACAGAGCCGGTTCCTCATCTGACATGAGTGTAAACGCTGTGGTTCTTTTGATGTTGGTGTTCTAGAGTCCCTGAGTTGAGACACGTTTAGAGAGAATGTTGACATCACAGGGGCTGCTCCCCTTGAGTGTGTGTGAGCGCTGTATAAAGAGAATTTGGTCCCGTTAGTGATTTATCTAGAATGCTCTCATGGTTTTAAAAGCTCAAGACTGTGAAATCAAAAAGCTGGAGCATTCGTTCCTTCTGTCCATCACACTTTCACGTGTCTGCTTGCAATGACTGCTTTGTTGAGGCACAATGGGGAAAAGACTTACAGGTAAACTGGCTGGTAATCGAATTCTAGGCAATAGTTTTTTGCGTTGTGATGCTCAATAAAGGAAAAAAGACCACCTGTAAATTCCAGTGAGTTGTTAAAACCTTAGAGAGAAATAAACTAGCCTCAGACCTGCCTCAGTACCTGAGCTGAGCTACTGGTTGTTGGTTTTTTTATTTTATTTTTTTTCACGTAAGTATAAGCTGATACTAAAAACATACTAGTTAATTCATGCAAAAGGTCGTTAAATTTGAGATGGTGTAGGTAGAAATCCTATCTCTATATCTCCCACCAAGTAAAATGAATCCATTTCATAATTTACCTGATTATGACACCCATGTAAATTCTTGATAAGCAGGAAGTTCCTTTGGGCAAACAGTCATGGCCCAAGGTTACTGGGCACATCTTTGAGTGCCTATTAAACCATCATTGTTTGGATTTCTTCTTATCTCTGGGCAGAAGATAGATAAGAAATAGATGACATAAAATCAACCATTTTAGCTCCTGAATGCACTGTTGGTACCAAAAAATCCATGGATCGTGCATGTATATATTTTAACACAAGTCTTTTCAACCAACTGTCTTAATTCTGTTATCAAGGGAATTGCAGGCTAATTGCATATATGTAGTGCATTCACTTGCAGGGAACTAGGCTTGCCAGTCGTATTAGTGCAAGATTATTTGTTTCTCCAAAAGTGCCATGCCTGTGATGCAAGAGGAATATGGTGTGGATCAAACACAGTACTTGCTTAGCAGTTGAACTTGTATCAGGCAGACAAGTACAATACTGAAGAATAGATGCCATATGTAGGGTTAAGCAGAATGTGGTGAGGGGTCTGAGAGAAAAGTCAGCTAACCGAGGATTGCAGAGTTAGGGAAGGCAGGTTTCCCAGAGAAGGGGACATACAAGTGGTATTCATTGGGGCAGCCATAGTAACCTAGGGGTTGGGGAGAGAATATTCAAGGCAGAGGACCAGCATGTGCTAAGACCAGGAGAAAATGAAGTGGGGGAGGAAGCAAGCTAGAGTGTAAAGGGGCCTGAGGTAGAGAGTTGAGCAGTGGACAGATTTCATAGATAACCTTGCAGATCACACAAAGGAGTTAGGGCACCTTCTGTCATGAGGACAGAAGGAAGCCACTGGAGGAGAGTTGCATGCTCAGACTTATGTCTTGGAGCAATTGTTCCAACCTGCAGCAAAGAGGGTGTTGGATACAGGAGTATGTATGGGACTAGAGACAGAGAGATGGCCTAAACTGGGGGAGAGCCAGAAAGGAGAATCCACAGGACTCAGTGACTAATCATAAGTGGATATAGGTAAAGGAAGCGAGGATGACACCTCAGTGTCTCACTTATGCATTGGGAGGACAGCGGTGCCTTTCACTGAGGGAAAAACGAAGATAACCTAGTGTTGAAAAGTGCATCTGGAGCTCAGAAGATGGATAGTCTAGAGATATAGACAGGAAACCAGTAGCTTCTCATTGACTTGAAGCCGTGCGAGGAGATCGGATTGACTAGTACAGTGTGTGGTATGAGGAGAGAGCCATGTTCAGAAGCCTGAGGAACTGTAGCTTTTCTGGAGTGAGTGGAAGCGTCGTCACAGGGTAACCGAGTGGTGAGAGGAATAGGAGGAAAAGTTCTGTTGATTTTAAGTCCATATAAAATCCTATCAAATTCCTAAGAGCATCTTAAAGACAAACTTGAACTGCCCTTGAAATTGTCAAAATATTACTAATTATTCTCATTCTTAAGTAACCTTTACAGAGTTAAAGTGTTATGTTCCCATTATAAGATATGAGTGTAATACTTGAGGTAATTAAATATACTAACTATAAACAATTGCATTTGAATCACCTTTACATGAATTTTCCCCAAGGAGCAGTGCTGTTTCCCAAACCACTTACCTGGGGAGGGAGGATGCCCAGAGGGGACCTTGACTCTTAAGATGGGCCCACTGCCTCCAGCTTATTGAGAAGGAAAGGGCACTGCATGGAAGCCCTATTCTTTTTTTTTTTTTAGGTTAATAAGGAACAATTAATAATAACCAGATTTTAAACAGGAATCTATAAAGGTTTTACTAATAAGGATTTCAAAATATGTAGTAATCTCAAACTCGGAAGACACCAAGTTAACAGATTTCCTCTTAGTTGAGGCCTGTCCAACCTCAAAGGACTGGTCCAGTCATGCTTTCTCTATTTTTAATTCCTCCTCTTCATTTACAGTATTGGTGGCAGCATCATTATGCAGATTGTCTAGAATGTCTTTGTTAAATCCATCTGACTTCTCTCTTTGATCCTCACCCATGTTAACATCTTCAGCTATCTGTGCTCTGGGTCTGTTCATTAACAAATCATTATCTAGGGACTACTACTATTACTCAGTAGCTTTGCCTGCCTTGTTTCCAAGGCCAGTTGTTTATTTCCCTCAATTCTTTGTTTTTGTTCTTCCATTAGGCTTCTACTTGACTCAGAAGCAAAGTTCTCACTTTCAGATGAGTTTGTCAAAAAGGGATCTAATTCAGTAGCAGGTACATCGTGGCCATTATTTTCCCCTTTCATCATTGCTAATAAAATCTTCATGCAAAATAGGGAGATCAAGACGAATTCATTTTAAACGGATCTGAACTTCCTTTTTATTTCCTAAATATTCAACTCTGTCAGTAAAATCCTCAAATTGCAGTTTAGGGAATAGCCTGTGTGCCCACTGCTCTGTGTATCTGATCAGTGTCTTCAGTCTTTACCCTCATGACCTTTACCTTTGAATTTTACCTTATCAAACATGTCTAATGCGGGAAGCCCTCTCTCTGAAATTAATTTCTGAGCATCCAGCTTGAGCATATTCCTTTTAACTGTTCTCTTTGGAGGTACAGAAATAGGTGCTCCTCTTCCTGGCTCTTCATCAGGTTCAGCTCCTTCACCATCTTCTCTCTCTGGAAAAGCTGGAGTTAGGAAAGGATTTGGCAAAGTTTCATCTTCTACGTACTCATAATCTGGTAGTCAGTCAATCACCTCACAAAGACTGCAGCGGCCACAGCACCATACTTGGTGCAGCGGATCAGAACTCCCTCTGTTCTGATCTTGCTCCCTCTGGGTCATTACACTCTGCACTTCAGACTCTCAGCTTCCAGCACTTCCCCCAAACTTGCCCTTCATTGTTTGAGTCTCTCATCCAGCAAAATTAAGTCCAAACTGGATTTTCTGCAATAGCTTATTTTCAACAGTAAAAACAAACTGCCCAAGTACTGTCCTTGCCAAACAATAGTGGTTTATGCTGTCATTGACCAAAATTTTGAATCATAGCCTCAGCATTTGACGAATGTGAAAAAGATGCCAATCGATTAAATAACCTTCACAGTACACTAATAAAGGAAAATTTACAATTTGAGTCCATCCAAAAATTTTGTTAAGGTATTTAAGTTTATATTATTCAGCTTTGACTTAGCAACTTTATAACCTAAAGGCAAAGAAAAATCTCAGCGCATGGAGCCATAGTTTATCAGTGTTATCTGCTATGGAAGATGTAATTTTAGTAAAGCATCTAAATCCATGAAACTGTAAACAAGGCCTTATTCGCATGGCTTTTTTCTATTTAGGGAATTTCATATTGTAATTATTTTCGGTAAGTGGGAGAGGCTGACTTGACATGTAGCCCATCAAAAGGCAACATCAGATTCCTTTGAAAGGTTTTTCACTGTAATTTTCCATTAAAAAAAAATCCTTGCATTTCTGGGTGCTATTTATGTTTTTTAAGTACTTACGCTTGCTATTTATCCTTAGAACCCTTTGACGTAGGTAGTGACAGAATTATTTCTAATAGCAAAAACCCATAAAATATTAGTAGGAAAATTAGCATAAACCTGCTGTTTCTCTAAGCCCTTTTTGTCCTTTCCCCTCTCTTTGATTTCCTAGCACTGTGGAGCAGCTTTCGATTACATTCTGCTCAGATGACTTTCTTATTTGCCGGTTGGCCTAATCACCATGATTTTGGTCCAGAATTCTTTCTACTACCTCAGTGTACACCTTCTCTGTGCTCATTTGCATGACTGCTGTCCTCTGGCCTTTTCCTAAGCCCCCTACTCCCTTCTGCCCCTTGTTTGTCTCCAGAACATTCGTATGCTAGCCTGGGAGGAGATGGCTGCTCTGGGTCTTCCTTTTAATTCTTCCCCTTGGCTTCTCCCTCTGTCCCCATCCCATCTACCTCCAGAGCTCTTCTTTCATTTATTCAGCTACTTTCTCTTCCATATAAAACTCATCATCCCACTCGAGAAAGAGCTTTTCTACTCAGTGAAATTAACAGCCCCTTTACTTTTAGCCTCCAAGGCCTGCTTATTGCTACAGATAGGAAGACTCACAGACAACCTCAACTTGTAAGTGGCAAGCCCTCCTCAGAGTGGCTTATTTTTATCAGTGCCCTGCCTTGCCTACTTTATGGCTGTTGTATAGTCTTGTGAAGTGGGTAATAGTGCCTTAAAAATTGTAAGGTGCCTCACATTTGCAAAAGTTCACAAGTTTACTAAGAAAAGCTACTATCTTTGTGCTGAGCCTAATTGGGAGTGAATGGGTTGAACCGAAAGCCTTTAGTAGTTTTGGTGTCTGGAACGGAATGAGTCTAAAATTGCATCGAACAGAGGGTGATGGGCTTAATGCCAAAGTAAGAGTGTCCTTTCTTTCTGAAAAGTAAAAGAAATTTCATGAGTAAATGCAGAATTTGGACCCTGTACTTAGTCAGTTTTATTAAGTTGACATTAGGTTTTCAAGGTGTTACCCTGAACTTTGGTTTTCATTTTGATTGTTCGCAGAATACATGACAGGAGTAGGGAATCATAGCAGCAAGGCAAGGAAAATAGAAATGGATTCACTGAGAACAGAGGTTAAACGGCTTCTCAGTTCTTTTGCCTTGCCCAGCCCCCCTCAGGAGGGAGTGAATTGCCTTTACTGAACAAGCTACCGCTTAAATCCACTAGGATTTTCATTAACAAGCCATTGGGCTTACTGCAGGAATCTGAAGGCCCTCAGGACCTGTCTTCCCCATCCCTACTCCAACCCCTGTCCACACTGCTCATCTTCCACACGCTGACTTTTACTCCACACCAGGTCACTCTTACCTGATAATATCCGGTATCATTTTCAAGACTGTCAAAGAAAACTCTTCCCCTCATTTGTTTACCCTGTCTCTGTGGACTCTGATCGCTGGTAGGGAGGCCTTAGTTAGTTCTCTATTCTTCACCTGGTGGCCAGTTGTGTCTATATCTAGATAGCTGTGGACAGGGGTTGGGGTGGGGATCCATACAGTTAACCTGGATATTCTCGTTTGAATCATTCAAAAGTGTCTAAAACTAAGCTAGAGCTTTTGTAACATGGTTCACTTTTAGAGTAGCCTCTTCAGAGAGTTCTGCTAGAAGTTCAAGGTAATGGCATTATTTTTCTGCTGGAATTTGGTTAGGCCCTTGAAGTTTTTCATACAGGAATTTGCCCTTCAGGTGAAGTGTAAGTAGAGGTGTGCAGTGTGTTTGCTGAGGGGCCCTGCACCCTTGCCTTCAGCCCAGGAAAGGAATCTAGGACCAGCTTAGGCTGCTCACTGAAAACTGCTGCTGGGGATAGTCAAGACGTCACCAGTAACATATAATTTATCTTATTTTTGTATTAAACAAACTGTGATCAGCCAAAAAATAGCCCCCAAAATGTCCATGTTCTAATCCCCAGACCCTGTGAATATGTTAATCTTACACGGCAGAAGGGACTTGGCAGATGAGATAAGGGTTTTGAGATGGGGAGATTATCCTATATTATCTGATGGACCCAGTGTAAGGATCCTTATAAGAGAGAAGCAGAAGTTCACTTAGAGTCAAAGATGTGATGACAGAGGCAGGGGTCAGAGTGATGCAGCCACTAGCTAAGAAATGTGGTGACCTCTAGATGCTAGAAAAGGCAAGGAACAGATTCTCTCCTAGAGCCTCCAGGAGTCGGCCTTGCTGACCCATTATAGACTTCTGACCTATAAGATAGTCTGTGTTGTGTTAAGCCACTAAGTTTGCGTAATTTGTTACAAAGGCAATAGGAAACTAGACAGCCAAACTTGGGACACATCTGTAGTTCTAACTCGGTATACAAGGACAACCCTCTGAGGACGCACTTAGAGGCCAATCTTTGATTAGAAACGAAGGCTGGGAGGGCTATACTAAAGGAGAGGCTAAGTTAGTGGGTCCAAGTTCAGGGAATGGGGCCAAATGCCACATTTTAAAGCTAGACTGTGCCCTTTGGTGCTACATAGAAATAAGTTGAGAAAAAAAAAAAAATGAAAGAAATTGCTGCTGTAAGCAGCAATAGAAAATTCCTGCAACCCATTCTTTTAAGAGATGATAGAAACAAAATATAAGTAATTTCGGAGTTATTTGCAGCAAAGTTACAGTGAAAAAGCCATTATAAATATTTTGGATACGTAGCCTTAATCTTTTGGGTGGATGACCAAAACATCTAATTGGTTCAATGAGCCTTGGTTTTGACCCAATATGGTAATTCGTGAGCTCTTAGGAGGCCAGAATTATTATTCTAATCCTTGTGTGAGCCAGGGAACCTTGGACTATAACGGTCTTCTAATGTCTGCTTTTAGTCATAAAGGAGACTGTCTGAGGTCCAATCCAGAGTTCAAGAAAAAGAGCAATAGGTTTATGTTTTTTAAAAAAAGGAAAAGGAAAAACATTTTTAACCAATTAATTCACTGTGAAAAAAGCAAGGATCAATTTTTTTTCCTCCTCTGCAGACTGAGAATAGAATTTATTGCAATGTATTATTAAAATTCCATTATAGCAAAACAATTGGGATGACCTTTTGTTTTTAATAATGGCATTAGGCCTGCAGGAAACGAAATCTGATGACAGAAGAGTGGCTTTATAAAATGTACAAAAAAACTTTCAAAGTCGGCCACCGTGCTCCCATTTAAAATCACGTCGCAGGGAATTGAGTGTGTGTGTCCCAACCTGTATCTGCCCCCCTGCACACATGTGCCTGTTTACTCCACATCCCAGTATGAAGGGTTTTTCTTGGTATGTTGGTAGGAATACCAAAATATAGTATAAAAAGACTTGATTTCAAGAGAGACTTAGATTCCCATTCAGGCTCTGCTACTGGCTATGCAAACTTAGAAACTCTGAGCTTTAGTTTGTTTATCTGTGAAGGATTGATTTAAATGATCTTAAGAATTTTTCAAGCCCCCTCTCCCACCTCCCCACGGCACCTCACCTGTTTAATATGTGTTGACATTGAGGCTTTCTGCAGAGACTGGGCGAGGAAGTTATTTCATGTCCAGCCCCACCCCTCCTGGCCATTACAGGGTCCTCATCTATGGGAAGACACGCCACCTCAGTGAAAATGAGATGAGAGGCCCGTGCTGCTTCTGTGCTTTCTCTGGCCTCACATGTTTTTCTGTGAATATCTGTTTTATTCTTGTAGCCTTTCTTCTGTGGAGAAGGATACAGGTTTATAGGCGTTCTGTGAATATCTGTTTTATTCTTGTAGCCTTTCTGTGGAGAAGGATACAGGTTTATAGGCATCTTGTCTCTGCATTGGGTGAGGGGAGGTCTGTTGTGTTTACTGAGACTTGATATTTAAGGAAAAATCATTTATCTTTTCCCAATTTTTGTTCCTCTTTCAGATTGATTCATGGTGCAAAGATAATAGCTATGTGATTGCTGGTTATTATCAAGCTAATGAACGAGTAAAGGATGCCAGGTATGTCCATGCAAAAGCCCTCTGTGGTCTGAAGGAACAATCATGTGACAGACTATCTCTAAGAGACAATCTCCAATGTGCTTTTTGACCTCCTGTAGGCTCAAGATATGAAATCTGTGACAACAAAATCCCTCTCCACCCTCTGTGCTTGTTTATAGTATTTGAGGGGACCTGTGGTATGGATAATTCCAAACAATAGAAAGTCTAAACATTTATATTAACTTCAAGATTCTGTTTTGTATCTTTTTTATTTTGCTTGAAGGCAATTCATATAGTGAAAGTAATAGTCATGGGCCTTCAATTTCAGTCCCCAGTCAGCTTTGCTTTGCTTCCCATTCCCAAACTAGGAATGAGGTAGAGCAGAGCATTACGAAAGAATACTGCTCTCGTTTAGGGTAAATAAACTTTTAGGCTTGGTGCTCTGAGAGTCTAATACTGTGATGAAAATGTGTTTGCTGCTTCCTTCATATTTGCTGCTGTTTTCATGCTCCTGGTTTCTTTCTCACTAATAAGCAAAGTGGAGAACTCTGCTTTATTTCTGCCTCATTCTTGGCCTCAACAGAAAAAGGTGACACACTGAAGTTAGGATAATTTGAGGAGGGCTTAATAAGCAGATACTTTCCAAAGGTGTGTACAGTACGTAAGAGAACTTATGAGTAGTGCAGTAACCCAACGCTGGTAACAAAAGTCAATACCATCCCTGGGCCTGACAGGATGGGAAGGAAAGAGTTAAGTAAAGAAGTCCACCTTGGGAAAGAATTAAGGTGTACACATTGCCAGTTATAAAAAGTCACAGATATAAATTACAGTATAGGGAATGTAGTCAATAATATTGTAATAACTATGTATGGTATCAGATGGATACTAGACTTATTGGGGTGATCACTTTGTAAAAAAGGTATAAAAATGTCTAATAACTATATTGTACACCTGAATCTAATATAATACTGTATGACAACAGTAATAGAAAAAAAAGTTTTTAAGAAAAAAGAAGTCTTCCTTAAGAGGAGCTGTGCCCTTTGGTCAGGGGACACACCTGGCAGCCAGCCTGATGTGACCTTACAAGGAAAGCCCGGAGGAGTTGGCGCCCTGACCTTCATCTGAGTTCCCCCCGCCAGGAGCTGGGGAGGATATGAAGTCTCCTGCGTGGTATATGACGGGAGGCACTGACATGCCTTCCTCACGTTGTCAGAGCTGACTGACTCCAGTATCCAGGCAGTTAGGGGATACAGTGAAGGACCCCAGACCTAAATTCCTGGAGTTATGTCAACTTGCCCAGCTAGGTGAGAGGTTGGACTCAATAGCATTTTTAGAAATAATACAGTGAACTGGTGACCAAGTATTACTGTCACTGTTGAGGCACAAATGCACTTCAGGGACTTAAACCCTCGTACTCTTAGAGAACTAGGTCCAGTTGGGACTCTGAGGGAGGCAGGATAACAAGTGAAATGCTGGGTTCAAAATGATCCCTGTTGAAGCCTCTGTTGGGATAACAGTGCATGGGCTCTCTCTCTCAGCCTCAGTTTTTCAGCTTTTCCTGCTACATCTCTGACTGTTCTTTCCCTGAGCCCAGAAGCACCATTCGTTTCTCTTCCTCGGGTACATCTCTTACTAATAACCTCGCTCCTTCTGGAACCTCCTCTCCGTTCCATTCGACCCACACTCCCGCCCCCCAATGTATCGACTCAGTTCTCCATTCCCATCCCCGATACAAAATAAAGCCTGTTCATGGGGCCCATATCAGGCTTGGTGTTTGGGCATGAATGCCTGCCCCAGGCGGCCACGCTTTGCGCTGAGCAAAACTAAAGACTCTTGACCCTTGCTTGCAGGCTGCTGGCTTGAATATGAAAGATATTGCCAACACAGGACTAACATAAGACAGCAGGCCAGGTGACATGAGGATAATGCAGAGGGCTGTGACAGCAGGAGCATGGCCAGAGACGCTCTCAGGAAGGGCTGCCATTTGAACTGGCACTCGAGCATGGGCAGGGTCTTGTCAAGTTCGGATGTGGAGGCCAGGAGGGAAGAGCATTCCAAGAGGGGATGGCATGAGGAAGACACCAGGTAGAAATGGGGGCAGGGGCATGGAGTGTGAACACAGAAGAGATGCTAGGAAGTAAGGCTGGAAAGGTAGGGTGAGGCCACAACCAGGGCTCTAAGTTATTTCGAACTTCCTTTTGTAAGCAGTGGGGAGCCATCCTTGGAAGGAGGGTTTTCCTGAACCGAGCAGTCTTTTCCCACAGCCACTCTTAAAGGAGAGGAGACTAGACGAGAGGTAAGGGCACTGGCTTGTCAAGTGATCGTAGACATCTCCCTTTCCTTTATGCCCACCCCACCCCTAAATCCGTGCCTTACGTGGTCTCCCCAGGTGGACCTGCATAGGCTCTGTGTCTGCATATCTTATTTGGCTCATGGCCTCCCCATCTTCCTGCCTCTATTCAGACCTCATGCCATCCCAGCCTAGACTTATCTTACTCAGACACCATTTTCATGCTATTCATATTTTCTAGAATTTCCCATTCCGTCACGCACTCTATGCTTCTGGAGGGTTTACATTCCTCCATTGATGTCAGTGGTTAAGTACCTACTAAACAGCCATTTGTCAGATCCATAAGATTAAACTTGGGAGGGGTGGAGGCGGTGCCCCATAACCCTTTATTTCCATCTGATGAGTTTCTGCTGTACTTCAGGATTTCATCTACCCCTCCAATGTGCTGGTGCTGCGTTAGGAGTAAACCTAGAGTCCCTTACACCGTATCTGGCCTGGGGCTTTACTGACATCATCCTGTCTAATCCTCACAAGGACTCAGGTGAAGAAACTCCAGACAGGTCCCTGCACAAAGGCCACATAGCTTAGAAGCTCAGGAGCTGGAGTTGTACCAGCTTCCTTCTTCAGTACTATTTGCCTCTACATGAAAGATCTTCCCTTCTCTCTTCAGCCAGACTAGCTAAAAATTTGATTTTGTTTCAGAAATATCAGCTGATTAACAGTGTCTCACAGCCTAAGATTTGGAGCCAGGTAGACTTGGATTCAAATCCTAGGTGACTTGGGCCTCAGTGGTCTTATCTGTAAAATGTAGCTAAGAGCTTATAACCTGAGCAAGTCGTCATGAGGATAGAGCGAAGCAACACACAGCATGGTTAGCTCTGTGCTTGGTTCAAAGTAAAGGCTAGTCCTGTGATTACTTTTTTCAAAAAAAGATCATTCATTGTTTTAATATTATAAAAAGAAATGTAAGGTGTTCGTAACTGCTTAACTCATTTCCAAAACTTGAGGTTATTACATGGTTTTATTGAGTCATAATTGCTGGAGTTTTGCTTTATAATTAGCATTCCATGTGGGTAAATTTCATTTCCAGGCAAAGTGCCGTGGCCTGAGGTAGATGCTTAACAAAAAGCTTTTAGATACAAAATATAAGATCTCAGTTATGAGTAAATGCCTAGCTGTGTGCTGGTTGAAAAGATGGGGTTAGCAAAGTGGTCTCTATCTCAGGTGCCTGCAGTTTTATTTGGCAGCCGACTCTTCACAAGAACAGGAGTTGGTACAGACTGGTAGGAAACACAGTAATGACTTTAATATAATGCAATAGTCTTACATTAGGAATGAAGTAAGTCAGTATTTGAGACTAAGTGCATAACACAAAAAAAAAGTAAAATTGGCAATTCATTAACCATACATCTTTTGCCCTCTTTAAAAAGAATAAATTTTAAATTTGAGTTCTTGGGCATTTGAAATGGTAGTTCTTGTTTTTAATGAATGTTTCTTGGCCCCCTTTCCAATAAAGTCACCAACTACTATGATAATCATAAATGTTAGGATAACAGTTTTGTAAGTTTCTTCATGGCATGCTTACGAGTACCTGGAAGATCATATATTTAGCAAATGCCAACTTCTTTTCCCTTTGCAGCTGAGGTGTAAGTGGGTCGGGACCGATAACGATGCAGAACAGTCGGGGTGTGCCTTTTCCACATTTGGTGGTTGCGTAGGCAGCCGTGTTCCTATTCCTCGCCATTTCCCATCTGAGCTGTGGGACTTGGCACTTGTCGACTCCTGGTAAATACAGTGAAGCACTCCCTTCACTTTAAGAGCTTTCTGTGCTGACCTGAGGGACAAGAATCCCTGGAGCCCTTTCTCTTTCAAAATGTTTTGTTGTTTCATTTTTTTAACGTAATACTGCAGACTTGATTAATCAGCATGTCACTATAAATTCTCAACTTTGAAAGTGAAAATAGAATAATTAAATAAAATTTTTTTATAAAGTATTATCTGCTTTTTTTAGCTCAATCATAAGTAAATAATTTTATAGTGTTTCTTTAAATAAACTCAATAAATTTTTTTATGCCTATTAAAATATATATCTCAGTCCGTACTTCAGAAAGCTGAGATTCTAATTGTGCAGGGAAAATGAGATGCACAAAAAGACAACTGCATGCCAAGGATTAAGTGTCAATGCTTTTTAGAAGCAAACACTCAGAGTTTAGAGAAGGGACAAATGGACCTCATCTGGGGCAGCTTGGCAAGACCTCCCAGAGAGGGTGACATTTTCTGGGCTTTAAAGATGGGAAGGAATTCTGCAAGCAGAGATTGGCGTGGAAGGGCATTCCAAACAGGGAACAGTGTGGGTGAGGGAGGTGATATATAGACAGTTTTATTGACCAGGCAAATGATTTACTGAAATTTTAAAGACACACACAGCTTCGTTCCTGCGGTTAGGAATGGTGGCTAGGTCCATGGTGAGAAAGGCCTGGATTTGTCAGACTGAAAAAAGTGGGCTTTCGTCTTACAAGCAGTGGTGAGTGGCAGGTGCGGGGAGAGGGGTGGGTGATGGAAGTTTTATTTTTAGGAAAATTGATCTAAAGAGTTTCAGGATACATTAGATAAGAGACTAGAAGTTGAGACCAGTTAGGAAGCAATTTTAGAAACCCATGTCTGTGGTGATAGCCTGAACAAAATGGGTGATAGGGAGAATTAAGAAGGCAGAGGCAAGGAAAGAATCTATAGTACCTGGTGAGTAAGTGAAGAAAAGTAGGAAAGGTAACCTCAATCAGAGAAACTGGAAATAGGCCAGCCTGCCTGGACCCAGTGGATTCCAGCTGGAAGGACTTGGAAGGGAGGCAGGTGGCTGGTAGGTTTCAAGGGTGCTGCCCCACAGAGGGGCACAGATTGCCAGATTGCACAATCGTGTGAGAAAATGGAGCAAGAGGGACAGGACTGAAGACTTATTAAAGAAGCTTAAGAAATGTGGTTGAAAGGGAGGAGAGAGGTTAGACAGTGGCTAGAGGGAAACAGTTAAGTAATTTTTTTCCTAAAAAAAGAAAAGACTTATTCAGATTTGACAGCAGAGCTGGGGTCATTGGAGGAAAAGAGAATGTAAGTTAAGGTCTGGAGGAGGAGATCAGAGTGGATGGGCCTAGGGGTAGGATGAAGCCTCTTCCTGAAATCAGATAGAAGGATAACTTTGTGTTGTAGGGGTAGCCAGGGGTGATGTGGGAGCCACTCTGTAATTTATTTTATTGACTTAAGGTTGAAAGTTGTCATTTATCAAGGTTGGGATGGGGCAGGGCCAGAGCCAGCAATTGAAAGCCACAAGCATGGAGAAGATTTGGTATGGCTTAGGAATTTTAGAAATTTTTTTCAAAAGGAAAAGTAAATGACTCAATTGCCAGGAGCTAAGAGGTGGACAGAGTCACTCTGGGAGCTCGCAGATGGAAAAGGCAGGCGTAGGAGGCTTCTAGCCTGGAGCTTGCACAGGCAGGAGCGGTCAGCAGCAGTTCACCTAAGGGCCTAGCTGCACTCTCCACTGGATTTCAGGGAGGCTTTCTATTCAGAAGATGCCTTCGCAGGATCCCCTCTGCAAGGGTTTCCCAGTGGAATGAGACAGGACCTGCTTTGTACTGTGCTCCCCATTGCCCCTACAGCATTCCCCGTCCTCGGCACAAGTCATTGCAGCTGGACCACTGTCAGCCCTTTTATTATTGTTTATTAACTGTGCTGTAGGTAGACATGTTGGGTAGCATTAACTAGAATGTGGTAAACTCACTGGTTCTTCTTCTGCAGTCCGAACCAGGTTGCAGAAAAGGTGGCCTCCAGAATTGCTGAGGGCTTCAGTGATACCGCTCTTATCATGGTAAGTCACTCTTGATTGCCTGTTGTGTCTTCTGTTTACAATGTGGCTACTGAGCATTCTCTTGCTAACATGGAGCTTTGCTGTATAAAGAGGTCTTCCTTTCTGCAGATATTTCATCAGACCATTGCCACCTTTTGCTGTCACAGCACATGGATCTCCAAAAGAGGAGAATCATTCAAATCTGGTGGTTCTCAGTGGGGTCCCCATGCCAGCAGTATAGCACGAGCAGGGAACTTGCTAGAAATGCAATTTCACAGGGCCCAGCAATCTGTATTTTCATAAGCTTCCAGATGATTCTGATGCACACTTAAGTGTGAGATCCCTGTAGGGGAAAAAGAAGGAAGGAGGAGTCAGGTAGATATGTAGCTAACATAAGAGCCTTGTTAAACAATCTCAATTCAGACAGAATCCTAACGGAGAGGGAAGAAGTAATGTTTCGAAGCCCCACTTTTGTGAAAAAATAATGAAATACATGTTGTTTATCCTGCATAACATACAGTTTACCGTAGGCCACGCTCGCGGTGTCTGTACACTGTAAGGCAGAATTTCTGCTGCGGGCCACGAGAAGGTGCCTAAGGACCTCCAGAAAGTGCTGGCTGTTGGCTGTTTGTTAACGCTCTTCACAGGTGTGTCCTTTGTCTTGCGTGCAGGTAGACAACACTAAGTTTACGATGGACTGCATGGTACCTACGATCCATGTGTACGAACACCACGAAAACAAATGGCGGTGCAGAGACCCACACTAGTGAGTGCCGTGTTCTTGGGGTGACCTGTGTGCAGAGTATGCTGGGGGCTGTTCCCGAGCACTCAGCTCCCCCTGGAAAACTGATGCCAACCTCCTGTGTTTTGTGAGGGAACGCACAACCCTCATACAGAAATCATGCATGTTCTTCAGCTGCTGGGGACTAAGGCCAACAGAGCTTCTGAGCAGTAGAGAACCGAAGTGTTACTCAAGGGTCTTCCTGTCCCCAGCCCCAGGGCACTGCTCTGCAAGCCAGAGCCTCTTCCCAGGCATTTGGTTTGGGTTTATTTGTAATAACTCTGAAAACATCGGTCATCTACCTCCAGCTCTTGCAGCGTTTCATTTGGAGGATTTTTTTTTCATATCTTAACCATGTTTTATATCAATTATGAACGTCTTTATGTGTTTAAAATGTACACATTTGCTAGTACTCATTATTGTCTTCCTATACCACTCTTTATGTGGCAGGTTTTTTGTTTATTAAAAAGCCGCCTTTTCGTTAAGAGGTTGATTTCTTCTGTTTCACCCCATAGCGATTACTGTGAAGACTGGCCGGAGGCCCAGAGGATCTCAGCATCACTCCTGGATAGCCGGTCCTATGAAACGCTCGTGGATTTCGATAACCACCTGGATGACATTCGGAATGACTGGACAAACCCAGAGATCAATAAAGCTGTTCTGCACCTGTGTTAGGGAGGGACTTCAGTGACTGGTCTCTGGGCATTTCCACTACGCTGAAGAAGAAAAGCTATTTTTAAATGTAGATAAAATATCTCATAGGCTGTGTGGAAAACTGACAGTTTTCAGCCGTGGTATGTGCCTTGAAGGAGGGCAGAATGTCCCATCAGTCGTCTTTTTAATGCAGAGTCTTTAGAAGCGGTACGGACTATCCAATCTGACTGTGGAGTCCTTCCCAGTTGCGTTACCGTAATCCTCCCTATCAAAGCTGTTTCTGCTTGTCCAAGATTGTTCCTATTAAACGATTTTAACTAACCTTTTATAATCTGGAGAGGATACTTTTTAAGCCAACAACCATGTGTTATACCCACATGAGAACGTTTGTGAGTTTTCATCCCGTTTGAGTTCATGTCCCATCTTGGGATTGGGCAGGCGCATGGCATGCCGGTGCCCATGTCTGAGAACCTGTGTGTGGGTGTTCACTGGTCGGGAGGCCACAGCCACAAACAGCACTGCTCCACACGGTGTCGAGCTCACGTAGCCACCGCAGCTCTACACAGTGGGAATAATGCCACTGTTGCCTGAGAAACCATCATTAAGGGTGAAAACAAACATCGTTGGTAACGGGAGCCCAGTGTAATGCTACTCAATCAGCCAGAAAGCTTGTAACCTGTGGAATCAAATCAGGAAAAACGAAACAGTGCCAAGATTATTTTTAAAAGGCAAGAATCAGTCCTAACTCATTTGCATGATTATCCAATGGTTGTAATTTATGAATTTAAAATAACTATTTCTGTTGTATTTGAAGCAACAGGAGCAAAACAAAACTTAGACTCCCCAAGATTACAGAACACTGTAATGTTTTACGTGGAACTTATTATGGCCAAGCTTTTTAACCCAATCATAGGAAACTGAGAGAGAAATTTGATGGTGCCATTGAATTTTTTCTTTTTTATATGGATTATTTTGTGTGGAGTTAAGAGCATTATATCTTTTCTGCAGTCTTTTTCTTTGACCACATGAAGGAAATTTGTAACAATTGGTATGATCTATTGAAAGGGTTTGTGACACAGCATTCATTATTTTCTCTTGATAGGTAGAAAAAAGTAATTTCAAACAGTGCCTATAATAGATGTGCTTTCATTGATCCACCAAATTCTCTCTTCCCCTCTCTTCAAACTACTCTTACCCTTAACTTTTGAAGCCAATATTATTTCATATGGGAAACAAACAGAGGAGTGGTGGACTCCATCTTTCTCACTGACCTCGCCTTACAAGCCAGGACCATCTCAGATGGAGTATGTATGCGGTCTTGTCCAAAGGGAATGGGTTTGTGTTTGTTTCAAAAACAGAGAAGAATCACCTGTAGCATTTACCACAGAAAAGGCTATCTTTTTCTGGGATTGAAAGGAGTGTATGCTACCTTCAGTTCAAGATCAGAGCTACTTGGAATCAAGATGTGGCTAAGGCTAGTTTGGGAGGCATTTTAAAGATAGTCTTAAAACCCTTCAGGGTCACACAACTCAGACTGCAAAGTAGCAAACAACTGGCCAGGTGCATGGGAAGGTCAGCAGTTCAGGTCACTTGTGTGTCTTGGATGTAACGTGGTCACTTGTCATTTGGCTGACATGGGTTTGAATCATGTCTGGAGGCAAGAAGGCTAGTAAGCAACTCCAGCATTTGCCTCTGTGTTCACATAGGTTCTATATGAAAAATTGGCTCTGTAAAGAAAGAAAGCTGGAGAGTGAAAATGAGGGATTTAATAACAGGATGACTGGATGTTTCCATGCCCCCCAAGTTCATCTGTGATGGCATTAAGCGGTTTTAGGAGGTGGAGCCTGTGGAAGGTGGTTAAGTCATGAGGGTCAAGCCCTCATGAATGGATTAACGTTCCTATAAAAGAAACCCCGCAGAGCACTCTCACTCCCCTGTATGAGGACGCGGGGAAGTCAGCAGTCCGCAACCCAGAGGAGGGCATTCACCAGAACCTGACCATGCTGGCAATAGACTTCCAGCCTTCAGAACCATAAAAAATAGGTTTCTGCTGATGAGCCACCCAGTTAGTGGTATTTTGTTATAGCAGCCTGAGCGGACTAGGACAGGATGGGTTTAAACTGAAGAATGGTTTTTAAATTTTTGATTGGTTAGGAATGTAATTTTATACAATGAATATAATATAGTATTTCATGGCAGAGCTTTAGGCTTGTATTTACAAAATACTTGAGGCTTGTATTTGACTTTAGGCTTGTATTTACAAAATCTAAAAGCCTCATATTTTTCAACTACAGGGAAAATTATCGCTTAGAGGATTTAGTTGGGTTCTTCTGATTGTGAGGAATGAAGACTCACAAGGATTCATGGGGAACAATGAGGGCCTCGAAATGAAACCGAGCCAACCCAGGGCCTGATCTCATGGAGTCTAGAATCTGGAGGAGGTTTTCAGATTTGGGTCAGCTCTCGAGAACCTCAGCTGCAGAAATGCTTGACTTCTCATCCTAGTATATGACTATGAATGTGACGGCTCCAAGTGACTGTGTCTCAGCACTGGCTAACTTCCTCTTGTTCATGGTTTGTTTGCTCTAAACACACCTTGCTCAGGGTGCAGGGCAGCTTATTGTCCCTTCTACGTTACCACCTTTCAATGCCAACTTCTGTTGCTAACCAGTTCTGTTTTTCACTTTTCAAATTCCATAGAGAAGCACCTAATCAGCGCAGTTCACCTTTATATCTAGCCTGTTGGGCATAATTTTTGGGCCACAGGCTAACCAATGGATTAACTTCCTTGGGTTGTCCCTTCAACTGTGGCTGAGAAATGTTGAAAGATGTGACATGTTCATTGCCTCTTGGGAGGGTCATGAACAGGGAAGGATCCTTTAGATTACAGCAGTCCCCAACCTTTTTGGCGCCAGGGACCAGTGCTTCTGTGAGAATTTAATGCCTGATGATCTGAGGTGGAGCTGAGGCGGTGATGCTGGCGCAGGGGAGCAGCTGCAAATACAGATGAAGTTTTACTTGCCTCACTAGCCGCTTACTTCCTGCTGTGCGGCCCAGTTCCTAACAGGCCACCTATGATACCAGTCAGTGGCCCGGAGGTTGGGGACCCCCGCTTCAGAGGAAAGTGTGGCAGTAGCTCTAGCATATTTGTGTTCATGATTTTAGTTGTTCCTGAAGGCTTCTATTTAATTTTTCATTTGAAAATTATTTTACACTTAGAAAGTTGCAAAAATCGTACGAAAAGTCCTGTAAATTCTTTATTTACATTTACCATTGTCAATATTTTGCCATTTTTGTTTTCTAGGCCTAGTTTTTAATAAATCCATGTTAAATAGAAATTATGAATGCCTCCATCTTCCCCTGCCACTCAACTTTTCCTCTCCCTGTGTTCTGATGTTCTCAAAATGACAAAAGCTATGTTAGGTTGGTTCTCAGGAAAGTTGTCAGAGCAGTTATGAAGCTGTTTTAGGAGACATATTCAAATTTGAACCCTCTATCAGACATAGTAGAGATTATATGACAAAATCAATGCAATTGAAATAAAGTTTAAGGGTAGATAAAGTGGCTACGGATATGAAAAACCGTACCTATAGTAACTGAATTACTGGATAAGCATTAAAAATCTTTTTAAATGTATACTGTGCATGTTTTTTAAAAAGATATAGTTTACAATAGCAAAATATTAGTAAATTTGGCAAAAGATATGCAAACTTTTTAAAGGAGAAAATAATAAAACGAAAGAAAAAGGCATAAATTAAGATATGCCATTGTTCTTTAGAAAAAGAATTTGTATCACAAAGATGTCCATTCTCTCTATGCTGACCTATACCAAATAAATTCCAAATAACCTCCCCCGCCCCCCCAAAAAAACCTGTTGGGTTGTTTTCCCTCATTTTCACAACTCTTTGTGGAATTCTTGCACTTGATACTCCCACCAGCTCCCCAAGAATGTGTGCCATCCTTCGGTGTGGATTTCAGCCTAGAACCAGGATCCCTTCCTATGGCTAAGTAAGGCTTACATTGTCAGAAGAAAACATATTAAATATTTATAAGGAAAGAACATATTTGCAAAACAAAAAAACAAAAAAAACATTTCCAAGATGCAGATACCTGCTCCTATATCCTTGTAAAAAGTGCAAAAGCCGCTGAACCTCTGGCCACTGTGCTGGGCTCCCCGGCCCTAAGAACAAGCTTAGCTTTTTCCCTACCCAAGATAAAGCCTGTCTAATAGCTGCCTGAAATGTATTCATACTCTGCGTTTATATAGAAAAGACTTCAAGGAGCAACACAAAGTACATTTGTACATTGAGAAAAATCCTTGTCCATCAAAACGTTCCTAAATAATTCTTTCTTAAATCTAAAGGGCTTAGAAAGGAGAGAAGGTATGTGTGTGTGGAGATAGACCCCTTACAGCCATCCATATGCTTAAAATCATTTTTATCTCTTACATAACGTCCATTAAGAGGTGAGTAGGACAAATTAATTATTAATTTATATAAGAATGTCATTTTCCAATTCTAATCATGGTTGCATTTAAGAACTGAAGATATTAAACATGGAGCAGTAGGCAGTAACTTCCTAAGTAACAAAAAGCATTATGCTTACTAAGGAAAAATTGATTTTGCTAATTTAATGAAATTAGGTTGATATAAAATAGAAAACAATTTAGAAATCTTGAGTGAATTAAATATTCAAGTTAATTTCTCAGAGATCTGGCATTTTTAAACCTCATCAGTAAAAAAAAGTTCTTGTATAATTAGCTTAGATTTAATAGCTTCCTTTTCTGATTGATGTACTTGGAAAAACTATTGTTCTTGCATATAGTAATTCTCACCGTTTTTGTTTTGCCTTCAAAAGAAAAATATTTGCTTCTAAAACTGCTCCTTTTTAGTATTATATCTGTCTTAACACAGTAGCTACTTTATTACATCATGGTGAGTAGAAAATAGCCATGAGCATTAATCTCCATACCCTGTGGACATTTTTAGCAATTTTAGTGATGAGAGCTGAATTTAAAAATAGACTTCCGCTTACTAATTGACATATCTTGAGGCTTTCCATCAACTCAGTGACTCTTAAGCATTGGATTTTTTTCCTTCAGTTCAATAGAAAGCCTGGCACAAATGTTAGTTTGTGTTCCCCTTGCTAACTCTTAGGTAGGTGATGTGTTAATCTGACTTAATTTCCATATACCTCAGAATGCAGGAGATAACTTAAATATGTTTATCCTCATAATGTCGATTGTTACTCCTTAAAATGTTTAAGATATCCTTGAATGGGATGCAAAATCTGATCAACTTTGCCATTTCTTAGAAATAAATGGTCATT